ATAGTGGTGCTGATATATCGCTCCTTAGTAAATTTGCTGTAACTCGTCTTGGTGCTAAAATAGACCCTCAAAATCGCAGCGTTGATTGTATTAAGACAACAGGAATGGACGAGCAAAATATTGAAAGGGTGAAAAGAATTTTACTACAAGTGCAATCTAAAACCCCTAAGAGCATTACGACAGGGAAATTAACAATTAAATTAAAAAACGACATTCCTATAGCATATCAACTCAGACGACTGGCTTACTCCGAAAGAGTTCAATTACGTCAAATTATCAGGGAATTATTACAAGATGGAATAATCAGAGAAAGTAAATCGGCTTATGCCAGCCCCATTGTCCTTGTGCGAAAGAAAAACGGAAGTTTGCGACTTTGCGTTGACTACAGAGACCTTAACAAACTAGCTTTTAAGCAACGTTACCCGCTACCTCTTATTCAAGACCAAATTGATGCCTTGTGCCATGCACGTTACTTCACTACTCTGGACATGAAGTCTGGCATTTACCAGATGGAAATCGAGGAAAATTCTAAGCAGTACACACCATTCATAACTCCTGACGGGTTGGATGAGTACAACCGAATGCCATTTGGTTTTGTGAATTCACCAATAGTGTACCAACGAGCTATTAATAAGGCCCTTGGAGAATTAAAGGGAACTTAGGCCCATGTGTACATAGATGATGTATTAATTCCGTCGGAAAGTTTAGAAGAGGGTATGCAAAAATTGGAAAATGTGTTAAACGCATTATCAGTAGCCGGATTCCAGTTAAACTATGAGAAATGTACGGAAACTGAATATCTTGGAATCACCATTAGCAAACGGCAAATACGTCCTAGTGATCGTAAGATAAAAGCCTTAATAGAAGCTCCGCCGCCCACAGACGTAAAAAGTGTTAGACAGTTCATGGGATTAGCGAGTTACTTCAGACGGTTCATCAAAGGGTTTTCTTCACTAACCGCACCTCTAACTGCCTTACTAAAGAAGAACAACGTCTTCGAATGGTCTGACGAGTGTGAAAAAGTGAGACGATCTATCATAAAAAAATTAACCGAAAACCCAGCGCTAAAAATCTTCAATCCTAAATTAGAGTGCGAATTACATACAGACGCGAGTTCGGTAGGCATCGGCGCAACACTCTTACAAAGAGAAAATGGAGTGACTCACCCGATTGCTTATTACAGTAGAAGAACTACCGAAAGTGAAGCAAAGTATCATTCATATGATTTAGAAACATTGGCTATAGTGGATGCTGTTGAGTATTTCCGAGCATAGCTTGTACGGTGTACATTTTGTGATTTATACTGACTGCAATTCAGTACGAGCAACTGCGCTTAAGAAAAACTTACACCCACGAGTAGCGAGATGGTGGGTTAAGGTTCAGACTACGATTTTACCATAGAATATCGCCCGGCAAGCAGAATGGCTCATGTGGATTACCTTAGCCGAAATCCGATCAAAAATGTTTGCGTCCTGAGAGAAGAATACGACGAGTGTAAAACGTTGCGAGACTTTCAAAAACTAGATGAGTTTTGCAAAAAAATAATTGACTGTTGCGTGATGTGACGATGTAAAAAAATACTACAATCGTCGGTGTACTGCTGTACCACATAGAAAAACTTCTCGAAGGACCAGTGCACTCGATGGTAAACAAACACACACAAAAAATAAAAATAACTATTACAAATGCTTCAAGTGCACACTAAATTGAATGTTTATGAAGAACTCGCCTAAATATATGTTATGATGGTAAAATATGTTAAATAGATCTAAATGTTGGCGATGATTGCAATCGATTTGTGTCGATTGATTGATGTGTTCTCTGTGTTGAATAATGAAATTCTATCTCGATTTACTAAAATTCTTAATTTATAAATTGTCATCCCTACTACAAAATGAGCCAGCCGAAACTGGTTCAAGCTGTACAACTATTGTTAGGGTGGTGAACCTTACCAACCCTGGAAATACTGAATAGTAATGATTTCGGAACAGAAAATACATAATGCACGTTTCTTTGGTACCTGCACAACAATAGAGCAGGAATTGAACATAATTTGGAAATGTTGCTGAAGGCAGATTCTTGAAATTACAAATGATAATGTTAAACTGATATAATTGATAGAAATAACCCAAGAAATAAATGTGCAAATAACCAAATATACCTACAAATATACAAATAAACATATATACCTACAAATAAATAAATATACAATTATTACTAAGGTATAAAAAATATGTTTCAAACGCGTAAACATTGACCTTCCTAGTGATTACGGTGATTATCAAATACAAAACTAAGGACAATTCCCCCAAGTGTTTCGTTCCCGCGGCTGCCCGTCTAAAAACCGTGCAACTTTATCATCACAGCTCGTCACACATTGGTTGGGAAAAACGCATCGCAAAAATGCTTGAAGACCTCTTTTGGCCGAAAATGGGCAAATGTTTTAAAAAATACATCAGAAATTGTCAAGCTTGTATATTGAGGGAAACGTGCCGGATTGTGGCAAAAAGGAGAAAAGCCATCCGATATACTTGAAACTTGGCATATCGACCATGCAGGGCCATTAGTAAAATCAGGAGGTTGTACACAAATTTTGGTGGTAATGGATGCGTTTTCTAAATATTGCTGTTTGAGAGCTATTCCAAAAGAATCTACTGAAGATACAATTATAGCATTATACGATATTTTTTAAAGTTTGGGTACCTTGAAACGTATCATTACTGACAGGGCTGCAGCTTTTACATCAATAGTGTTCAAGAATTTTCTAAGTGAGAAAGGGGTATCACTTCATTGCATTGCCACGGGAATGCCAAGGGGAAATAGACAAGTGGAACGAATGATGCGCACCGTGTTCAATTTATTGCGTGCAACTTTGACCGCGGAAGACGAAAAATTCTTGGGTAAAAGCATTAAAGGAAATTGAAGATAATATTAATTCCACAACACATTCCACTCCTGGCTATGCCCCTACAGTACTGCACCTTGGCACTAACCCACGGCTATCAGCAACCAATCAGTTCTTAGGTGATTTAGCACAACGCGAGCACTATATTGACCACGAGAATGCTATTAAAGACGCTTTTAGACGAATCTCAGACAAGGAGGTTAAACAAGCTCAGAAATTCAACGGCGACTCGCTTTGCTGCCAAACTATTTGGAGAAGGCGACATAGTTGCTATAGAGAATTCCCAACTAGCCGAAGAAGAAAAATTAAAACAAAAATATCATGGCCCATATACAATTCTCAGATTACTACCCAATGAACGTTACGTTCTTGGTAAGAAAGGAAAACATCAGACGGTAGCGGCTCATGAGCAATGGCGACCATGGCCCTCTACGACTGATTGTGAGTAAATAGTACATTACTGTAAGTAATTTGAAATTCAAAAAAAAAAAACAAAACAAAAAAAAAACGTTTAATAACCTGTATTAATCTAATTGTTAACGATTTTCAAACATCACAATGAATCACAGAGCCGTATTAGAATATTTTTAATAATTGTGGGAGTACCACGATATCAAATAAATTTGCGGGAGGACCCTAGCAATTGCAGTAATTGTGGGAGTACTACAATATCAAACAGTACCGTAGCAACTGTAGTAATCATGGGAGTAACACAATATCAAACAGAACCGTAGCAACTGTAGTAATTGTGGGAGTACCACAATAATAATAATAAAAAAACCAGAACAAAATATTGTATTATGAAGGTGGGAGCACCGCACACACATCATATTGGCAAAATGGCAATCATCATTATTCAGTCTCATAAACATTTTCTATTTACATTTTAGGATATAACTAATAGGAGGTGCGAAGACGCAACCCTTGCAGAATGGCCGTGTTATCGCGATGCTGATCCGACGTCTCTCGCGCATAATTCTCTTGCCTCTAATTCCCCGAGTCGACGACATCCGAGGATTGCCGAAAGACCCGCCTTATTATTATGATTATTATGATGAATATAATTAGTACACTGTCCTAGTATAGATCGTTAAAAAGTGAAGTGAGGGTGTTTTCTTTAAATTCCGCCCCTTTAAAGAAAATTAGTTTACATATATACATAAATGAAGACTACACAAAAGAGAAAAGTGAAATTCAACAACACATTATATCAATGGCAGAAGAGAAGAGGAAGATTGAGAAGAAAGTCAGAATAGGATATAAAAAACTGTATGTAGAAGACGAGATATGGATCTGGGACAAAAAAAGCAACTCAATACAAAAAGAAGAGGATCGCTACAGAATGAGGAACCAAACATGCGACAACTCACAGGAAGCGTGACAAACAGAAGAATAGGAACGTGTAGAGAATGAGATACGGTTGTCAAGAAGAACACAATCACAACAGCAAACAAAGCAAGAGTCCCATACTAATGGACTTTTTCGACACCAATGCAACTAATATGACAGATGAGTCGAACGTCGAGGAACCAAGCATTCTTCTTTGGAAAATACACGGATGGGAAAGACTCTTTAATATAACAAATGTAGAATTTAACGATCTTAGGGAATGCAGTAACATAGCTGTCAGCGAAACAGAAAATAAGAAAACTTCCAGAAATTTTCAAACACATGAGCTAGGTAGAAAAAACAGCCACGCAGGAAAAAGATATGGGAAGCCAGCGGAGGACTAGGCATTTTGTGCGATCCCACAGTAATCACGGAGGTGCAGATATTACAACAATGTGACATATGAACTAGTCTTCCCTGTCGAATAAATGGAACAAAATTTATAATAGTCAGCGTATATATGTAGAATAAATTCTATGAAGACAGATTAAGTACGCTGGAAGACGGCCTGAATGAATGGACAAACAAAAACAGAAATACACCTATAATAATCGGTGGAGACTTCAACTCAAGGATAGGGACGAAAAACCAAATAGACATGGAAGTGTGCGAAGGCTATAATATAAATCCAAACAGGCAAGCAGAAGTTAAAACGCTCAACAGAAATGTAGTACAAATCCTCGAAACACTAGAACAGATAGGACTAATGGCGCTTAACGGAAGAACAGCTTCAGACGCTGTAAGGGCTCCAACGTTCGTGGAAACTCAGGGGCTAAGCACTATCGACTACGCATGGGTGAACCTACAGGGCTTAGAGTTTATAAACGATTTTAAATTTCTGAAGGTAGGCCTATCGGATCATCTATCTATCAATGTAACGCTCAGTATTGGAAACCCGCCTTCAAAGACAAGAAAAACACATACCATAAAATGGGAGAGGATCGTCAAGTGGATACCAGAGCAGAGAAATAATTACAGACGAAAACTAGAAACCGATGAAACACAGGACCTACACATGGACAACACCAACATCCTCAATAAGAATATTACGATAAAAATGCAAGAAGCAGATAGACAAACTGGAATGACCTCCAAAAGGCCACTGGACCTCGCAATCTGGAGCAAGAATCGCCCCTAGTTCAATAAAGAATGTAGGGAAGCCAAAAGACAGTAATCAAACTACAAAGAAAGTATCTAAAAGACAAGGACACCACCGAAAAAGAAGATATCGCCAACGCCAGAAGGAACTACTTAAAGATCGTAAAAAAGGTAAAGGAGGAATATAACAAAGATAGGGAGAATATGATAAGACAAGCCAAAGACAATGGAAAATTATTGGAAAACATAAAAAAAGATCAACAATGTAGTCTCCGACCTCGGTAGAAGACTGGTATACATTTTACACAACCAGAATGCCTGTAAAGTCGCAACAAAATCCAATACTGTACTACAAATACCCGACGCTGGATGTGAAGATAACAACGGATGAAATCACAAACGCAATTACTATTTGAAACCCAACAAAACCCTGGGTCCGGACGAGTTGTCGGCAGACTTCTGTAAAAACATGACACCAAGCTGGTTGAGTATATTAGCAAAATTATTCGACAGAGTGTTAACCACAGCTGAAGTTCCAGAGGATTGGAGCCGCTACGAGACAATCATGTTCTACTTAATTATAGAGGTATCGCACTAGCGAATGTAGTAGCAAAAATTTTCACGTCAATTCTTGCAAGAAGGCTGGCCGAATGGAAAACGAAAGAATCCTTCCGGAATGCCAAGCGGAATTCCGGATGGGAAGAGGGTGCGAGGATAACATTTTTATCCTAAATGCCAAGGTTACTATTGCGGTTACTAAAGAAAAAGGCAAATTGTATGCGGTTTTCGTGGACTTTCAAAGGGCATTTGACTCCGTGGTACATGAAGTGCTATGGAAAAAATTAAACGACTTAGGGGAAGTCCTCAAATCATCAGAGTGTTACAAGTATACTACTCCAAACCCTGGACAAAAATAAAAATAGCACCAGGATGTAAAACCTAAGAAACCACGATAATAGAGGGAGTATTACAAGGAGACTCGCTAAGTACGCTCCTATTCATACTACTATTAGCAGATATCACAGACTACTTCAAAGCAAAAGGACATATAAACATCGAAGGAAGAATTGAACTCCTGTTGTTTGCCGACGATCTGGTAATACTAGCAAACGACATCGTAGACCTTCAACAGAAACTAACTACCCTACAAGACTATACCGAAGGAAACGGACTCACGGTCAACACCACGAGATCGAAATGGTCAAAAATTTCACATACCTAGGAATACAGTTTACAACATCAGGATTATTCACAGAAGCGGTCCAATTCTCTAAAGCGAGAACCAGAATAGCCTGCTGCGTTGTTTGGAACTACGTGACAAAATCAAGAATAACAAAATGGGAACAAAAAATGACACTCTTTGACGCTATAGTATCATCAGCGCTACTATATGGTGCAGGGATATGGGGCCTAAACTTCATTGACGAATTAGACATAATACAAAGAAATTTCATAAGAAACATCCCAAGCATCCCGAGAACTACACCCTGCTACGCGATAAGATGCGAAACCGGGACCACATCCTTAGAGCAGAGAGTATCCAAACGGGCATTTAATTATTGGACAAAGATATTAACAATGCCAGAAGAAAGATATCCAAGAAGATGCTACGTTTGGCTACGCAACCTGGACAGAACATCCCTAAATATATAACGAAGGAACTGGTGCTCAGCAATAAGGAAACTACTATGTCGCGTTGAACGCAAAGATTTATGGGATCGGGATGGAACAAGCGCCAGCCATATATTGCAAGCTATGCCCAACATGTTAGACAAATTAACAGAAGACTTATACAAAAAAGACATTACACGCATACAAGAACCAGAACATGCCGATATACAAACACATCAAGGACATACAAAAACCTAACAGACAAAACTACCTCGACTGGAACATTCCAACTAAATTTAAACAACTAATAGCACAACTACTATTAGGAAACAATGAAACCCTCACAATACAAGTAAACAAAATGAAATATACAATCGACACGAAAAATATATGTAGATGTTGTGACAGACACAAAAATGAAACACTGGAACACATAATATACAATTGCCCGGCATATAAAGAGTTTAGAGAAAAGTATATCAAAGGAAACACAATTATTGAGATGCTAAGAATAAAAAATAATGATGAAGCTTGCAAATTGGTATATTTTGTACAAAACAGTGTAAAATTGAGGTCATTTATGTTAAGCGAATAGCAATGTTAGGTTAAGTTAGACTAAGATCATTAAAAATAAGTTAGCCAGTAAGTATCTTGTAATACGTCAATGACCTGCAACAAGTATGTACATAATAATAATAATATAATAAGCGGGTGACTAGTTAATCGTACTCATGTTTATTGAAGAATAATTAGCAAATTAAATTGGTTTGCAGAGGGAGAGGTGTCTGATTATATAAAAAATCTTTCGATCGAGAAGGATTCGGAAGGATTCTTTTTCGAACTTTCGTCCAAGACAGATGACGTTCCCCACATAAATACAGTAATACACAATAAATCATGACATTCAACACAACATAAACATTCACCATTCCATAGTATGGTAAACAAACTATGAAAAATACGAGAAAATGAAAGTAATTTTGAAAAAGAGGTAAGCATTAATTAAAAACAAATATCTAGCACACAACAATGGATACCAAACCAAAATAGTTGCTAATAAACAACGACAATAGATACTGATTTAGTTTATTCATATGTTTATCAAAACATTAGTATGCTTAGATTTGCAGATGATATAGCAGTAGTAGCATCTAGCAAGGAGGACCTAGAGATGGCTTTAAATAAAATGGAAGCGGTACTGACAGATCAGTACTGTATGAAAATAAATAAAAATAAAACTAAAGTACTGGCATGCAAGGGAAGAAAAAGTAGGGAAAGAGCGAATATAGAGATAGGAGACGAAAAATTAGAAAAAGTGGCTGATTTTAGATATCTAGAAAGTCAGATAAGTCAGGACGGAAGGAGTAGTAGGGATACAAAGCAGATGATAGCGCAGGGTCGTGTCGCCTTTAATAAAAACAAGTCACNTAAGCCGCTAAGGAAAAAATTACTCGGAACTAAGAAGAAAATCTTTGTAATTTTAATAAAAAGAGAAAGTCGATTAAATGTTATTCGTTGGGCGAGTAAGTAGCTATCAAAAGAACGCATTTCAGTGTTAGTTTGAAATTGCGTAGGAAAGTCGTAGGTCCTTGTAAAATAGGTAAGAGTCTGCGGAATGACCATGGTCGAAAGCCTGAGGACGCACAAGAAACATCTACTTCTGTTGATTATATGAGACCTTGGGTGGTTCATACGAAGAGGAAGGCCGTTGTTGTATTTTTATGAGTGATTTATAATGACTGTATTGACCCCAGCCTGCACCTTCGAATTCGATTTGCTTGAAAACGGCATACTTTTCTTGTTCCATGGTGTCTTAGCATTTACCGTTAACTTCGCATTTACTTCAGTTGTGCCCTATAAAATACACAGGTCAGAGCAAGACGGTCATAAAACATTGAATTTCAGAACTAGGAAAAGGAAATAACTATAAACAAAGAATCGGCTACAACAATTATATATTGTATCCACGAAAACCTTACCCGGATATTTCTACATTAAAAAGGCAATGGATAAAAACTAAGTTTAACGACTAAACACAAATATTTTCTTTTTGTCATGTTACCGCGGAAAGTTTGTTTTGCGTGCTATAAAATAGGGAAGATATAACCTTTTCAGCCATTTTACAATCGGGAGGCAATGACATTAGTCGTTGAGCGCATGCGCAGAAGTTTACGGACATGCGCTAAAATAAGTTATTTGACGATGATTTAGATACAACACTAAAATGTCTACAATCACGTTAAAAGCATGTATAAGCAAATTGACGCGCGTTAAGTGAAGCAGTTTATAAATAATCGAAATACACAAAGTGTTTAATAATGGATTTATCAGACGCTTCAAGTATTTTTAGTGACGAAAAATGAATATGATGCCCAGAAACATTGATGAAGAAACAAGAGAAATATTAAATAATTTACTATCCATAAAGTAATCTGAAAGATACAGACAATGCTTTAATAAATTCGAAGCATGGAGAACAAAAAATAATATAACCTCATACGAAAATAAGTTCCTTGTTTACTTTAATGAACTTTCGGAAAAACAAAAATCAAGTTCATTATCGAACAAATGGTCAATGAAAAAATCCGTACTGCAATCGAACTAGAATATAAATATGTCAGTGCCCGAATGCTAGAAGACCCTGTATATGGGACACACCCTATATGGAAGAAGGAATTTATTCCAGAGCCAATATACTGAATTTTTCGTTTATCATGTTCACGATACTGTTATATGCTTAAGTTAAATGTTACGTTTTCTTTATGTTAATAAAGGAGCCCTGGGGTTGGGACATTCAGGGTTATGTGATCTAGGTAAACAGCTGTTCACAGTTTGATAAAATTATATTTTAATAAAAGAGTTAAAAAGGTGTTACAAAATAACTGTCATCGTTTTTATCCTACCTCTCATATCTTATATACTTATAAATACCTATTAACAGTTAAAAACTTTGATGTATGTTTCATTAATTAATAATATACGTTAACCATGAATTATTTCTAATACTAAAAATCATCTTAATCCATTCCTCTTCAATTCAATCTAAATTATTTCAATATATTTCATCCATAAAAGAATTCATTACGGAACAAATTCTCGAATGTCTAAGGCCCCATCAGTTCCATAATACTTACT